AGAGACGGGGTTTCACCATGTTGACCAGGATGGTCTCGATCTCTTGACCTTGTGATCCACCCGCCTCGGCCTCCCAAAGTGCTGGGATTACAGGCTTGAGCCACCGCGCCCGGCCAGAAGAATCTTTTAATGTATTTCTTGTACAATGCCCTAAATTAAAATCTGGCTTTTCTATATCATGTGTAACACTGTAACAAATGAAACAGTTTATGTAGTCTGCCCTGCACTAATGCCTTTAAGGTTAATTATTTGGAATTTTTGATAACAGAAATTTATAGCTGTTTTTACTTATGTAAAACGACATTCTATGTGAAGTTGGTGTGGTTAAATTTAAATTAAATGACATGCCTTGAATAGATAATTGGCTTTTAATTAACATTTCTAAATTCAATTAACATTATGTATTCCTATTTTAAAAGTAAACATCCACTTTATTTATGCAAACTTGACATTAGACACCCTATTGTGTTTCTGACTGTGTATTTGGACTTTTCATTTTAAGAAATCATACTTCTGATTTAACTTGTATTTGAGATCTCAAGCACAAAATAAAGGAAATTGTGATAGGCAATAGTACTTATCAGACTGTGCACTTCTCTTTGGCAGGTATCTTCCTGAATCATCTGCTTTGTACCCCGTAGTGCCGGGTACATGGTTGCTGTTCAACAAGTTTGTTAAATTTGCCATATTATGAAACTATGACAATTTGGGTCCTAATTTTTCATTGTAACCAGCTGGCCTTGATAATGAGACTTGAGCAAACCCTTCACCAGCTAAATAAATAAATCCCTGCTGCTCTTCACCCTGGAGCATGTTATATAGAGCTGCCCATATGAGAAGCAGCTCTGTCACACATATGTCATTTGGAGGGTCTTCTTCAGAGCTTTCTGTTGGAGACTCATATTTGAAACCATTGTTTTCTCTGCCTGTGGCATCCGAATCAAATGATGTCTTGGGGGATTAGCATCCCTGAAGCCTGGCATTGTTCTTTTCAGCTGCTCTGAGGATGAGGTCACCGGTATGAGGTTTCCCCAGCCCTCCTCAGGCCCCCACTTCAGTATCATTTTTATCTTGTCATGACTTTCTCTGTTTAAAACCCCTCAATGGCTTTGACCTCCCTCTATTTTCCTGAATCCAGTGGACAGTTCTCAACCCTCACCTTACTTTACATATTAGTAGCATTTGAGAAAGTTGACACCTTCTTATATTTTCCTCACTGATATCCAGGATGTCCGTACTCCTAGTTTTCTTCCTGTTTCGCTGTTGTTCTTTCTTAGCCTCCTTGTGTAGTTCTTCCTCTTTTCCCCAACTCAACTTAATGTTGCAGTGCCCCTGGACTCAGTCCTTGGTACTGTATCTACACTTATTCCTTTGGTTTCCGGCTCATGGATCTCAATGTCATCCCTGCCTTATTCTAGCTTACATTTCCAACTCAACTTCTCTCTCAAACTCTAAACTTCTTGAATATCATCTTACTTATTTGACATTTCTCTGCTTGGACAGCTTAAATATAGTATTGTCCAATGCCTAACTTCTGGTCTTTATTCCTCGAAATTCCTCCTCCTGCAGGCTGCCCCATTTCTGCTATTAGCAACTTAATCTTTTCAGTTGCTTAGAAAAAAAGGTTTTAAATCAGCTTTGGTTTTTCTTTCTCTTCATTCAGTCTATCTGGAAGATTTTGTTGACACTATGTTTAAAACAGATTGAGAGTCTGATCACTTCTTGGTACCTCCAATGCTACTGGTCAAAGCCACCATTATCTCATGCTTGGATTATTGTAGTAACTTTGTAATTGGTCTCCCTGTTTCTGACTTGGCCTCTCTATACGATCTGTTGTCAAATTAGCAGCCAGAGTAATACTTTTAAATTTTAAGAAACATAAATCATATTACTCCTCCATTAAAAATCTCCCATCTCTCTCAGGTTAAAACCTACAAACTTATAGGACTCTGCAGGATCCGGTGCCCTTCTTAATCCTGACCTATCTCCTGTTGCTCTTTTTCTTGTTCATGGTGTTCCAACTATACATGCACCATTGCCGTTTTGAAACGTATGCCAGCGCACTGTCACCTTGGCATCCATGCACGGAATGTACCCTCTACCTAGAGCATTTTTCCCCCGGAATAGACATTCAGTAAATATTTGTCAAATAAATGAATGAATGTACGAGTGGTTTACCATTGATTTTAGGATGACTTATATTCTTCACATGATCTTCAAGACCCCACGTAACTGGATTTGTCTCTACTTTGTCAGACCTGTCTCCTGCTACATTTCCTCTTTTGTCTCTCCTAGCAGCCTGTTAACCCCTTTTTAGGTTTATCCAATCTACTCCATCCTTTTCCGTTATAGGATGGAGTACTCCCTCCGCCAGCAACATTTGTTCCTCTCTCCTACACCCGTCCCACTTGCCCAGTCAGTTCTTGTGTATTCATCCCAGTTGAGTTTCAATGCTTTTCCTTCAAGAAAATCTTCACTAATCATCCTCTTCCCCTTCAAGGACCAGGGTTATATCCTTTCATAGCACCCTGACCTTCTCCTTCATGGAACTAGCATATAAATTTTAAAAGGCAGAGACCATGTATGTTTTATTTACTGCAAAAACTTCAGCATTGAGTCTCGTACATAGTATGTGCTCAGTAATTTTTATTGCATGATAGACCTAATTTAATCCATATAAATAATTCTATGTGTTGTAAACCTAAATTATTAACCCAGTTTTAAAAGATTAACTAGATGATTCTATTAACCCAGATGAAAAGTAAAAGGGCCCACAAAGGTTTTCTAATTTGCTCAAGGGACGTGGAATAGCCCATAATGAAGGGATAACTGATTCCTGTTTTGTGGTTGAGGTGTGAGAAAAAAATAGGTATTTTGTTTCTGGAAGACAACAGATTATAAAACTGTAAAGAGCTGCATATTTCAGGAAGAAACTAAATTTTTATGAATTTTATTACTTGATGGACATTTTTTGACAGAATTTCCACATTCAGCATTACTTAGAGTGATTTTTAAATATAGTATAGACATGAATAGCCAGTTTAAATATACTAAGCCACTGGAAAAGAAAAGTTACTATAGAATTTATTTAGTATCTGACATATAGGATCAGTCTGTGTCAAATGTTATTAAAATAATTTTTTTGGTCAGATCATCACCATATGGTATCGTCATATTTCTTTTAATCTTAGAAATGAAGCCTTTTGGAAACTAGGGCTTCTATATGTGAGAAAGTTGAATTACAAAGCTTTCTTTTTATGAGGGTATAATTCTTTTATATCTAAAAATGCTCATAAAAAATGCCCGGTGTGTGTAACTCTTTGTGTTTGAAGAGAACAGTGCTGATTCAGTGAGATTTATGACATAAATTAGGGACCTTTTTTAAAGACTGGTTTCACTTATCCTGCTGTTCTCTTAGCTCCATTTACAGAGGCCATTGTGCAATGGAAAAATACTGTGGGGCTAATCAATGCAAGATGCAAGCGAGATTGATTGAGGATGGTTTATTTAAGTTGGCCTCATTTTGGTATATCACTTTGCTGTTGTAGACCAGAGCTCTGGTTGCCTCACTGGCTTTTCCCATAAATATGGTAAAATCAGATTTCTAAAGAATTTTCTAGGGTCAAAGCCTGTTATCTCCTATTTCTGTTACGTTGCTTAATCTACTGATGGCTCCCTGGCCATCAGTAAAAGCTATCCCTGTATGTCTGATAAAAATGTTAGGCATTTTAAGTAAAAGTTATCCCTGTATGTTTGATAAAATGTTATGCATATTTGATCAAATATGTTTATTTAGAAAGTAAATTTGGGATAAACATAAGAACTGTTTAAGTTGTTCAGGAATATTGCAAAATGGGAGTCATAAACCAGAAGTTCTTTATATAGACTATCCAAAAATGTGTTGTTACTTTAAAATCCCTTAATTTGTTAAACTTTCTAGGTAGGAATAATATAAAATAGCATGAGTTTTAGACGAGTTGCCTTTTTTCTTCTTTAATCCACATGCTGGTCTGTACTGTTGGCTTTGTAGGAGAGATAAATCAAGACATCTTCATTTTCTACCCAAAGTTCCATAGCAGGAAAATATGCTTGTAGATTGCATGTTTTAGGAAGTGTCATACTAAAAACATCTGTTAAGAGCACCCTGATTGAGAGATCAAGCAAAAGTTCAAAACCTAAGAGGAAAGGCATTAGGTGAACAGGTTTGGAGAGGTAATATAAAATCAATTGATTTTTTAAGCAGTTGTAGACTTCAGCTGTCAAAAGTGCTATAGGGAGTGATTTCTATGCAAATATTTTTAATCCAGATGAAGGTAGTAATAGGGAATAAAAGCTGTCAGTGCTCAGTGAACATTAAATTAATTAAATATATGTTAATTAACAAAAGGTATAAATGAAAATATGTTCCTCTATTAATCTCATTGTGGACACATTTTAAACCATATTAATTAGCTATGGCTCATCAAACCTTCAGTTATAGTTGTCATAATTAGAATTGTTTTTCTTGATCTGTTGTTTTTTATTAAGTTGTTTAGTACAGCTAAAACTGCCAGTGAATGAAAATAATTGCCACATGCTTTTATGGCTGCCTTGAAGGGAATCTATAGTTCAATTTTATATGTCTCTGTTGAATGCAGTTCTATGTGTACATTCTCTTGCAACCTAATAAAAATAGTAAATTAAAACTTATTATTTTAAAAATTTTAATAAAAATTTCACCAAGGCCACAGATGGGACTTTGAAAGACAACATTTGTTATGAGTTTGATTTTATTTTCATCAATTTTTTTACTTTGATAATGAGATTGTAATTCATAGAGAGTGCTATTGCAGTTCTGTGTATTACCAAAATGTTAAAAGTTTCAGCTTGTTGTTGGTATGTGATTGTGTTTGTTTATATGCACATATATATAAATGCTTTGAACATTTGAATATATATTTCCCCCTCTCATTCTAGTTGGATTGATCCAGAGGTTTCTTGTACTTCAGATTTACGTACCCCTGGGACAAGACTTCTCCACCGAATTGCTGTAAGATATACAGAACTTCTTTGAATGTTTTATGTGTATTAGACATTTGATCAATTGAAGCAGCACCAACAACCATTAATTGCAAGTGGCAGTTTTTGCATTAAAGAGCAGTGACTTATATCAAGTCAACATCAAGTAATTAAACTAATTTAATCGTATTTTTTAGATACTACTATAGTCTGGCATTTGCCTAGGGAAAGCAAGCAGATTTCATCTGTTTAAGAAAATATCAAAGGATTATTATTTTGACAATACGTGACCTATAACTTGAAGAAATACGTAATTCACAAGTTTCAGATTTGGGTTTAAATGAAGGATACTGTTATGTTTTGTACTGTCTGATATTCAAAACTATGGTTGGTATAAAATTGATTGAAATATCTTATTTTAATAATATTTACTTTGTCTAGAAGTATTAGTTCTTTCTGCTTACATATAGACACCTTGCAATATATTTGTTTTAAGTAACCGTTCTAGATTGTTTAGCAAAAATGAAAATATACAGCCTTTACTTAGTTGAGCTCTCTGTTGTGTGAGATGTTACTGAGTATGAAAATAACATTTGATTTGTACACTTGCATAGAATTGAGTATTGTTTAAGATTTTATTAATGAATTTATATACTTTAACCATTACATTTAAGGCATGCTATTTTCTAATTTTTCTTTGTAATTAATAGCTGTCCAAGGTCTGAACTTAGAGTTTTTATTTTCCATGCTGGAATAAATGATTTTTCTTATTAATGAAAATGATTTTATACTACTTTTTCTAAGTAAGAGATGATTTTTTTTTCAGTGATGTAATCAAACACACAATATTTATTAATTATGGCTACATAGTATTCCATGGTGTTTATGTGCCACATTCTCTTTATCCAGTCTGTCATTGATGGGCATTTGGGTTGACTCTAAGTCTTTGCTATTGTGAATAGTGCTGCAATAAACATACACGTGCATGTGTCTTTATAGCAGAATGATTTGTAATCCTTTGGGTATATACCCGGTGATGGGATTGCTGCGTCAAAAGGTATTTCTGGTTCTAGATCCTTGAGGAATCACCACACTGTCTTCCACAATGGTTGAACTAATTTACACTCCCACCAACAGTGTAAAAACGTTCCTATTTCTCCACATCCTCTCCAGCACCTGTTGTTTCCTGACTTTTTAATGATGGCCATTCTAACTGCTGTAACATGGTATCTCAATGGGGTTTTGATTTGCATTTCTCTAATGACCAGTGATGATGAGCTTTTTTTCATGTGTTTGTTGACTGCATAAATATCTTCTTTTGAGAAGCATCTGTTCATATCCTTTGCCCACTTTTTAATGGGGTTGTTTGTTTTTTCTTGTAAATATGTTTAAGTTCTTTGTAGATTCTGGTTATTAGCCCTTTGTCAGATGGATAGATTGCTAAAATTTTCTCCCATTTCTGTAGGTTGCCTGTTTGCTCCAATGAGAGTTTCTTTTGTTGTGCAGAAGCTCTTTAGTTTAATTAGATCCCATTTGTCAATTTTGGCTTTTGTTGCCATTGCTTTTGGTGTTTTAGTCATGAAGTCTTTGCCCATGCCTAGGTGCTGAATGGTATTGCCCAGATTTTCTTCTAGGGTTTTTATGGTTTTAGGTCTTACATTTAAGTCTTTAATCTCTCTTGGGTTAATTTTTGTATAAGGTGTAAGGAAGGGTTCAGTTTCAGTTTTCTGCATATAGCTAGCCAGTTTTCCCAACACCATTTATTAAATAGAGGATCCTTTTCCCATTGCTTGTTTTTCTCAGGCTTGTCAAAGATCAGATGGGTTGTAGATGTGTGGTGTTCTTTCTGAGGCCTTTGTTCTGTTTCATTGGTCTGTATCTCTGTTTTGGTACTAGTACCATGTTGTCTTTGTTACTGTAGTCTTGTAGTATAGTTTGAAGTCAGGTAGCGTAGGGCATCCAGCTTTGTTCTTTTTTGCTTAGGATTGTCATGGCTATGTGGGCTCTTTCTTGGTTCCATATGAAATTCAAAGTAGTTTTATTACAATTCGGTGAAGAAAGTAAATGGTAGCTTGATGGGGAATGTTTTTCCCTTTGCTTGTGTCCTCTCTTATGTCTTTGAGCAGTGGTTTGTAGTTCTCCTTGAAAAGGTCCTTCACATCTGTTGTAAGTTGTATTCCTAGGTATTTTATTCTCTTTGCAGCAATTGTGAATGGGAGTTCACTCATGATTTGGCTCTCTGTTTGTCTATTACTGGTACATAGGAGTGCTTGTGATTTTTGCATGTTGATTTTTGTATCCTGAGACTTTGCTGAAGTTGCTTATCAGCTTAAGGAGATTTTGGGCTGAGACAGTGGGGTTTTCTAAGTATACAATCATGTCATCTGCAAACAGAAGCAATTTGACTTCCTCTGTACCTGTTTGAATACGCTTTATTCCCTTCTCTTGCTGATTGCCCTGGCCAGAAGTTCCAATACTATGTTGAGTAGGAGTGGTGAGAGAGGGCATCCTTGTCTTGTGCCAGTTTTGAAAGGGAATGCTTCTAGTTTTTGCCCATTCAGTGTGCTATTGGCTGTGGGTTTGTCATAAAGAGCTCTTATTATTTTGAGATACATTTCATTAATACCTAATTTATTGAGAGTTTGTAGTATGAAGAGGTGTTGGATTTTATTTGCATCTGTTGAGATATCATGTGGTTTTTGTCATTGGTTCTGTTTATGTGATGGATTACACTGATTGATTTGCTTATGTTGAACCAGCTTTCCATTCCAGGGATGAAGCTGACTTCATCGGGGTGTATAAGCTTTTTGATACGCTGCTAGATACAGTTCGCCATTATTTTATTGAGGAATTTTGTATCGATGTTCATCAGGGACATTGGCCTGAAATTTTCTTTCTTTGTTGTGTCTCTGCCAGGTTTTGCTATCAGGATGATACAGGCTTCATAAAATGAGTTAGGGAGGAGTCCTTCTTTTTCTGTTGTTTGTAATAGTTTCAGAAGGAGTGGTACCACTTCTTCTTTGTATCTCTGGTAGAATTCGGCTGTGAATCCATCCAGTCCTGGGCTTTTTTTGGTTGGCAGGCTATTAATTACTGCCCCAATTTCAGAACTTGTTTTGGCATATTCATGGATTTGACTTCTTTCTGGTTTAGACTTGGGAGGGTGTATGTGTCCAGGAATTTATCCATTTTTTCTAGATTTCCTAGTTTATTGTGCAGATGTGTTTATAGTACTCTCTGATGGTAGTTAGTATTTCTATGGGATCAGCGGTGATATTGCCTTTATCATTTCATATTGTGTCTATTTGATTCTTCTCTCTTTCCTTCTTAATCTGGCTAGTGGTCTATCAATTTTGTTAATCTTTTCAAAAAACCAGCTCCTGGATTCGTTGATTTTTGAAGGGTTTTTTTGTGTCTCTGTCTCCTTCAGTTCTGCTCTGATCTTAGTTATTTCTTGTCTTCTGTCAGCTTTGGAATTTGTTTGCTCTTGCTTCTGTAGTTCTTTTAATTGTGGTTTTAGGGTGTTGATTTTAGATCTTTTCTGCTTTCTCTGTGGGCATTTAGTGCTATAAATTTCCCTCTAAACACTGCTGTAGCTGTGTCCCAGAGATTCTGGTATGTTTTGTCTTTGTTCTCATTGTTTTCAAAGAACTTATGTATTTCTGCCTTAATGTCATTATTTATGCAGTAGTCATTCAGGAGCAGGTTGTTCAGTTTCCATGTAGTTGTGCAGTTTTGAATGATTTTTCTTAATCCTGAGTTCTAATTTGATTGCACTGTTGTCTGAGAGACTGTTGTGATTTCTGTTCTTTTATATTTGCTGAGGAGTGTTTTACTTCTACTTGTGTGGTCAATTTTAGAATAAGTGTGATGTGGTGCTGAGAAGAAAATATTCTGTTGATTTGAGGTGGAGAGTTCTGTAGATGTCTATTAGGTCTCTTGGTCCAAAGCTGAGTTCAAGTCCTGAACTTGTTAATTTTCTCTCTAGACAGTGGGGTGTTAATGTCTCCCACTATTTGTGTGTGTAAGTCTAAGTATCTTTGTAGGTCTCTAAGAACTTGCTTTATGAATCTGGGTGCTTCTGTATTGGGTGCATATATATTTAGGATAGTTAGCTCTTCTTGTTGTGTTGATTCCTTTACCATTATGTAATGCCCCTCTTTGTCTTTTTTGATCTTTGTTGATTTAAAGTCTGTTTTATCAGAGACTAGGATTGCAACTCTCCTTTTTTTTTTTTTTTTTTTNTTTTTTTTTTTGCTTTCCATTTGCTTGTTAAATATTCCTCCATCTTTTCATTTTGAGCCTCGGTGTATCTTTGCATGTGAAATGGGTCTCCTGAACACAGCACACCAATGGGTCTTTAAGCTTCATCCAATTTGCCAGTCTGTATCTTTTAATTGGGCATTTAGCTCATTTACAAATAAAGTTAATATTGTTATGTGTGAATTTGATCCTGTCATCATGATGCTAGCTGCTTATTTTGTTCGTTAGCTGATGCAGTTTCTTCCTAGTTTTGATGGTCTTTACAATTTGGTATGTTTTCGCAGTGGCTGGTAGCAGTTTTTCCTTTCCATATTTAGTGCTTCCTTCAGGAGCTCTTTTAAGGCCAGCCTGGTGGTGACAGAATCTCTCAACATTTGCTTGTCTGTAAAGAATTATATTTCTCCTTCGCTTATGAAGCTTACTTTGGCTGGATGTGAAATTCTGGGTTGAAAATTCTTTAAGAATGTTGACTATTGGTTCCCACTCTCTTCTGTCTTGTAGGATTTCTGCAGAGAGATCCCCTGTTATTCTGATGAGCTTCCCTTTGTGGGTGACCCGACCTTTCTCTCCAGCTGTCCTTAACAGTTTTTCCTTCATTTCAACCTTGATGAATCTGACGATTGTATGTCTTGGGGTTGCTCTTCTCACGGAGTATCTTCGTGGTGGTCTCTGTATTTCCTGAATTTGAATGTTGGCCTGTCTTGCTAGATTGGGGAAGTTCTCCTGGATAATATCCTGAAGTGTGTTTTCCAACTTCGTTCCATTCTC